GAACGTTGATGACCTACTTCTGGCGAGATTCTGAAGTGTGCATACAATGGACACTTTACTATCCCATGAGGCTACGGGAAAGGGTTTGTGAATAGCAGTGACGTGACAACCGACGCTGGTGGTTCACATGATAAGGGCAACATTGCGAATTTAGTACGTCCAGATTACATTCATACTATATACAACATACTTTTTTTTTTGCTGTTGTGAAGTAATTACTTATTCAAAATAAGTACCTACTCAAGAGGGTATTCGATTTCAGACGCAGCCCCCAACTAACTGACCTACTTTTTTTTTTTCGATAATCCTTTACATTCACATGTATGTCACAATACAGAAGAAATTATCTGATACTACTTTCATTTCAATGCAACTTTAAAGGGATTGATCACCTCAAAATGAAAATTTGATAATTTGCTCACCCTCACACAATTTCAGACCTGTATAAAAAAAATTATTTTAAGTAACACAAATGTTGAAAAATGTGAACAAATGTTTACCCCATTGACTTTCAATGTATGGACAAATATAAATAGGCTATCTTTTTTTGTTCCACTGAAGAAAGTAATTTTACAAGTTTGGAACAACATGAGGGTGAGTAAATGACTTGACTTACATTTTTGGGTGAACTATCTCTTTAAATTGCAATTTTTTGAGAGTATAAGGTGCAATGCAAACTTCACAAGCAGTTTGTGTGCATGACAGCTATTAATTTGAGAGACATTTGTCGATTAAGCAAGTTTAGATCTTTCATCCCACTGCCCCACTGGACAGCTCCGACAAGCTGGACTATTCAGTGACCTTTTATAGTATAGTGCTGATTGGGTAATGTGTCCCTTACGGCCTAAACGTAACGTTAACTTCACGCATGGACAACATTTGAGGTGCAGCTGTTCTAGATATCCAAACGAGCGCTGTCCTGAAGTGTTGGCTTCAGAGGGATTTCCATGTAATCTCTTTATTAGCAGACAGCCTGTCGATCTCAATCACTGGTGTTGCTGTGTGGGAGGGGGGTGGTGGTGGGAGCCGAGGTCCCAGCCAATGGTGCCCTATCCTGTCGATTATCTCTATGCTATCTCATTAAGTTACTTGAATACCTTTGCCCACTTGTGTTGGCAGGACACAGAAATGGTATTTGAAAACAACTGATCATAATTGTGAAATGCTACTTTTAGTATTGATCAAAAAAGCTTTGGTGCAAGCAAGGTGGGATTGAAACTTCTGTCCATCAAACTGAGCATGAAATGTGTGGCAGACATATAGTTCTGATGTCTGAATAACCAACGAATCATGCAATGAACAAATGAGCCACACAGATGTTGTATGAGATTATGCGTACATTAAACTGGACATTTCTAAATATATACAGTTAGAAAATGCATATTTAGTAAGGGTGACCAGTGACCAAAATATAGCATTGAAAAAAATATAAACAAATAGGTTTAATTTATTTAAAAGCTCTCTATTAGTTAATAAAATAAATATTTATAATATTTTAATATTTATCATCAGCTTTTTCTGAAGGAGCATGTGACACTGAAGAATGGAGTAATGATGCTGAAAATTCAGCTCTGACTTCATAGAAATACATTATGAAATATATTCAAATAGAAAAAGTTATTTTAATTTGTAATACTATTTCACAATATTGCCATTTTTACTTAAATGCTAGCCTGGTTAAAACCAGACCATTCTCAGTTGTAACTGAGTTATGGTCTGGCAAAGCGTCATAGACAAATCATTTCCAGAGGGGCGTCACCAACGGACGTCGCGGATAGACCTAAAACCAATCCGAGCGATGAAGGAGATGACGTATGCAGAGCGGCGGAGAATCTCAGAGTGTTGTTCTTTGCTCGGTTTTTAACTAAAAGGAAACGTTCAAATCGCTTAAAACAGACGCGATAGCTGATTCGAACGAGTGATGTTCGACGCCGGCATCCATCTTTGTAATGTAGGCTACAAAACCTGCTTCAAAATCCCAGCGCTGTCGTCATCGTATAAAGCCCGCCCCAACGTTTCTGATTGGTGCCGCGATTTCGACGGATTGGAAATGGGCTTGAATGAGCTCTTTGCCAGGCCCTGTCCCAAATGGCGCACTTCATGTGGACTTTCGGTCTCGTGGACTTAAATTGCGCGTGCTCGCCGAGTCTACGAGTCCGTAGGCCGTCCCATTTAGCATTTTAACGCTCTGAAGTGTGCTCAGCAGCGCCCCCTTTGTTCCCTTGAAGCGGTCTTCCGCGAAGCCCGCATAGATGCAGGCTCCACGCACTTTAACTACCAGGAATCCTTGCGAAAGGCCAATCAGACAACGGATGGGAGGAGATTTCGCTCACGGACAATTATTAACATGGCTGAGAAGAAAATATTTAAGTGTAATTATCATTACGGTTTTTATGACAAGTTTATACAAACATTATGATCATCGACGATCGACCAGTGGTTGATGTCTCAAACATAGGCTAATAATAGCGAGCTGAATAATACGATCGCATTATGATTCATTAAATAAATAGAACAGAATGTCAGGGCTTTACTGAGTCATGTGTAAACACAACAACAATAGGCAGCATATTTCCCCGAACCTGAAGCTCCTGTCCATAACAACAATCAGACCGTCTTCCTGTTTCCGGCGTGACGATCGAGTCGGTCCCAAAAATACCTCTCAATGCGCCCTCGCGGACTCGTGCTAAGGGCCCTATAGGTCTGCACTACATGACGTCACCGAAGTGTGGACTCTGAGGAAGTCCACAAGTCCGGAGTGTGCCATTTGGGACAGGGCCCCAGACTAACTTTCAGAGCAAATCTAAATTTGCCGGAAGTTGTCTGGGTTTTCCCAGGCTACTTAAATGCAGCCTTGGTGAATATAAGTTATGTATATATATATATATATATAAGTTATATAAGTTGGTTATATATAAAATTGGGTAGCACTATTTTACAGTCCTGTTCCCCATGTACATACCATGCACTTTGCAATAACTGGGTAATAACTAGATACTAACCCTGAACCTATACCCCACATAGTTACCTTATATTACCTAGTACTTTCTTATAGGCAAGTAGGCCTACACTAAGAACACGTAAGTGCACGAACTGAAAAATAAAGTGCAACCAAATTTTTTTTTATATTTCCTACCTTTTGTCAGGTACTGTATGTCATGTTTACAGCGTTATAATGGTTAGTGGTGTTGTGTTACTAACATTCTGAAATACACAGGAATTCAAATGGCTGGGCCTTCAGGATTAGTTCGGCCACATTTCAGCTGAATGGTGCAAAATGCTCTCTCTGTTCTCAAGCGTGGCAATTCCCCTGACATAGGCAAGGCCTGTTGTGGTCAGTGGCATCATATTAATTCAGAGTAACCATCGCAAAACTGAGTTAGTGATGCTGCCTAATCAGAGTCAGGTTGTCCCAACTCACATTTTTTAAATTTTCTGATACACATCTGCCCTGTCAATTTGTAATGCCACATATAACGGATACTTGTGAGTTAGGAGCCAAAATTAAAATGCATTTGCATTCATTAAAAAAAAAAAAGAAAAGAAAAAAAAATTACATTTGGTTCAGGATCATGCAAGTTGTGCAGCCCAGATAAATTTATATGCATGTTTGATTAAAAAAAGCTATCTCCTGTCGTCTTTCATAGGAACTATTACCGCATAATCCCTTTTCCACCCAATCCAAACGCTCTTTATATCAGCAATTACCAAAGTTGTAACAGCAGCACTGACCTTCAGTGCTTCGGCAGAGTTCAGAAAAAGCTATTTCCTCTAAAGGTTTTATTGCTAGAGAACTCCTCCCTGTTTGTTCATGTCGTCCTCAGGTGGATACTAGAATTTATTTGCTTGGGGTTTATGGGCTCTAGGCTCGCAGAGGTATGGTTCAATTTGAGACTCCGCTTTTGCTCCTGCCAAGTAAATAAACTCATCATCAAACAAAAGACAGGCTTGCTTGCATGCACAGAACACTTGGTTTTCTGCAGTGTTGACTACAGAACTCCCAAGAGCTCTGAACGGAGAGAGATGAGTTCGAAAGGCCATCTGCAGACGTTTCCAGCTAAGATCATTTGTGTGCTAATTGAATTTGAAACATTCTTTCATAATCTTTTTTTGAGTGTTCTTCCCTGGCAGCAGCACAAAACCTTCTTTCAGCAAGTCCACCAAGCCAGATACACAGAGAAAGGCACTGACTGCTTCCCCCCAATGAGAATCACACAGCGTATCACTCATTCCAGTGTCACCATCCACAGCCAACCACTTGTTTTTTCACTCATCTCTTTTATTTTAGAAGTCATAAAAAAATGGATAACAGTGCAAAAGTGATCCTTGATATGCACAAGGATTTGCTTTAAAGCCTGGTTGAGTCTTCTTCATTGGACTGATGCAAAATATTAAATACAGTGCAGAATGCCCATTTTAAAAATGCTACAGTGATTACAGCATTCAATATAGTGGTTCTTGATCAAATAATGTGTATTGTGTTCAGTTTCATTCTCTCTGTACAAAATTGTCTTCAGCTACAACATTCAGGAATATTTTTTAAACAAAAATTCTTGAAGCAAATGCTCTCTCTCTCTCACACACACACACACACACACGTCATAATCTGCCTCTAACAAACCTATAAATAATGGTTGGCCAATAAATGCTTAATTTGTCAGTCAAAATAAATCAAGTAAACAAGGCAGTTTTAAATAGTGATGCTTCCAGAGCTGTCAAATCATTTAAATCTTATACTATTCACTTTGACATTGTGAGAAAATTAGTGTCAGAGCAGAATTAAGTGCACTTGTTACATGGGTTTGATGGCCTGAGTCCAACCATATTTAAAGCATGTGGACAGTGGTCATAGATTATACAAGACCATCTTTAGGCAATGTATAATCTATGATGTGCTGGTCATGCAGCCAAACATATAGCAAAACTTTCAGACCCACTCCATTTTCATATAACACATGCTTTCATTCTGGGAAGAAAAAAAAACAACAACATTGAAGGGAAACCCTGAAAACAATCCCATATGTGCTTATTAAACTCTTTGTCGTTCCTGTAATTATTGCAGCTTGCGTCCTCAGGTGGGAGGGGGTCCTTTATAATGTAGGGCCAGGTGAAATGAGCGGGTCAGGGTATTGGACCGATGACATGAGGTATCGTGGACTGAAATGAGGTACCAGATCATCACAGCAAGCAGGAGGGCAAATAGGATGACAAAAAAACTCAGGGGCCACAACTGCCAGGGGCCTCTTTGCCATAGGCTGCTAGTAGAGGTCTTCGGTTTAATCGGGCCACTGGAAACAGAAAAATATGATAAAAAGCCATTTTTCAGCATTAACAGAAGAAAGAGACTGCCTACAGTTCTCCGCTATGGTGATAGTTGGCATAAATCAGCTGTGCCCAATCCTGCTTCATGGAGGGCCAATTTCCCAAGAGTTTAGCTCCAACCTGACCCAATACTTGTGCCTGGAAGTTTCTAGCAATTCAAAAGACTTTGATTAGCTGGTTCAGGTGTGTTTAATTAGGACTGGAGCAAGAGAATGACCCACCAGGAGCATAAATCAATTTTAATTTAAGCTTGGTATGCATTGGTGAGGTAAAATTGCTTTAATATTTGCAAATACTGCTTACGGTAGAGTTTAAGTACAGCCTTCATTTAACAATTCCAAAATGTTTCAACGATTCATGTAAAAAATGACAACATTTAAAAATGTGTCCTTGGTTCATGTTTTAAGTGCAGGCCTCACTGGTCAGGGAAGCATATGACTTCACTTTGTCAAATGATTCTCATTGCATTTTTGCAGTCCAATAGACCTAAAACACGCCTTTTTTGGACACTGCCCAAATCACTGGCTCAAGGTTAACTAAGAATATTGGGTACAACTTTAAATATGTTGGACCACACTAACTTTGATTATAAGACTTTCTTAGTCCAGGTTTAGAAAGACAATTTTAGAATTTAGAAAGAGTAAATTATGACAGTTTTCATTTTTGAGTGAACTATCCCTTTAGATTTACATATTGAATATACAGACAGGCAAATTCACCATCATTCAAAAGTTTGGGGGTTTTCAATGTTTTTGAAAGAAATCTCTTATGCTCACCAAAGCTGCATTTATTTAAACAAAAATACAGTAATAATGTGAAATTGATATTTATGAAAAACTATTCTTTATACATTTAAAAAAAAAGCTGAATTTTCAGCATCATTACTCCAGTCTTATTAAAAACTAAATGTTTCTTGAGCACCAAATCCATGCGGAAACATTTAGTTTTTAATATCAATGTTGGATATCAATCATTAGAATGATTTCTGAAGGATCATGTGACACTGAAGACTGGAGTAATGATGTAATGGCAATATCAATGTTGTAAACAGTTGCGCTGCTTAATATTTCTGATGCCTATTTTTTCAGCTGTTCAAAAAAAAAATCAGGGTGCCGTTTATCACAACAAAATACATAATTAGTGCTAACCATATCAAATCAAACAGTTTCTCACCGACTCCACTTTGTACAGGTGTTGTCCTCCAATGAGTCGGGGAAAGAAAGTCTCTCCTGCTGCCTCTAGTGACAGAGAGGGACATGACGATAATAGCTTGAGATTAACAAAGCCCTGCAGGGACTCTATTGTTTACCAGCTCTTTGGCACTGGCACACATTACAAGTGCAATTATGTGTGGGGTGTGTCGAGGTGTAAATCACATCATAAAAATCATGCAAGGCGCCACATTCGCTACACATTAACAGGCCTGGCTTTAATTCACAAACCTTAGGTGACCACAAAAGAAGTTATGTAGTTTGTAACACATTTGAAGCTACTGTGTGATGGGTGTTTGGGGCGTAAGTGTCTGCACGAGGGAGATATACCTGTGGGTCTTCGTGACATTGGTCACATGACGGGGACGGGCAGGGGTTGTAGCACGTGTGTAGAGTTTGCTGTGGGTGGGGGCGTCTCTGGGGGAGCACGTTCTCCTGATACTCAACTCCCTCCTCCTTTCCGGAAGGCAGAGATGAAAAACTGGAGCGAGGCTATAAAGGTTCACAGAAGCAACAAACACTTTTGATTGCCAAAGAGCGGACAGCACAGTTTTCACTACATGTGACAGCTTCGCTATGCTACAAAAGGCGCTTGTAAATCGAAAGAGACGGGCTCCATTAACTAATAAGGTTCATGGCGGCTCTGTCTTTTTGTGCTCTCTTGTTTTTCTCATTTGCTCCTATTCTTTGAGTCCTTTAATGGGACCAACAGATACGCTGCCTCTACCTTTTCGTGTGACACATTACACAGGCGCTCTTGGCCCTTTGGTAGTGCCAGTTCCCCACTATGTTTGTGCCCACAATTACGGCTGCCATTAAAGAGCCAGTTAGAGCGGCTGGTCTTTTCCCCTTCCCTGTAAAGCTGCCAATTAGCCATGAGCACCGAGAAATTACAAGAGGCTCTTTGAAATGGAAATGGTCCCTCTCTCTCATCAAGGTTTTTCCAAGGCTTCGGCAGGCAAATCAGCCTTTGCATCAGTGCAGAGGATTCTCTTTCCCAGAAACCAACTTCACCCCGCCCTTCCCTCTCTAAAAGGAAAGATTGAGCTTTTTAAGTCGAGATGGTACAGATTCATTCGAGTTGGATTAATTAGCAGCACGGCTGAATAATGTGTGCCTCATATATTCCTTGTATTGATTTATTTTTATGATGCCCCTAAAATAGCCTTTTTTCTCCCACAGAAAGATTGATAAATATTATGGATTTATGATTAAAGATAATAGGCCTGCGCAATATTTGAAAAAACTGACATTACGATATTTTGTTTTTCTGTGATATATATATATATATATATATATATATATATATATATATATATATATATATATATATATATAGTGATAAACAATTTCACTAGATTTTACAACAATTTCAATAGATCACTCTATTTGGAAAGAATTAATCATTCTAGAACAATTTTGAAGGGGAGTGAATCAACCATAGGAAATAAACAAATTACAAGCATAGATAAATACAATACAACAAAAATACAAATGAAATAAACAGTGCTTTGTTTTTCAGGTTCAGAAATTGAATCAAATGTATATCAACACTGCATAGATAAATTATATTTAATTTATATTTAAGACTTTGTTAAAGTAGCAAAAGTGATTTTCTCTTTGTAAATTTTGTTGATTGATTAACATTAAAGACACAGATAGCAGCAGGAGTATTAGGCTGCTGTCACTTTAAGACATGCACAGATCCAATATAATGATACGCATTTGTTTTATTTCTCCATGGCGAATGCGTTTGCGAGGATACTCATCGAGATGGAGATTGACGGGCACAAATAGACACGGAAGAGAACGTAATTCTGTGTTCGCGTACAGTCTGTCCTGCTGTGTGTGCGCACAGAAAACAGCGCAAGAGTTCCGAATTGAGTTCTTTCACGTCTTGCGCTAGAATTGTTTAAAATCGCTTGGATGTTTAAACCGACAGGACATAAAAATGCAAATAATGAACTTTCGCAGTATGATGGTTAAACTTTGCAATTAATCCGTGAATTGCATGCATTTCGAACCGTGGTGCCTGCTCTGTACGGATCAATTACGATCCTATACTTAAAGGGTTAGTTCACCCAAAAATGAAAATTCTGTCAGTAATTACTCACCCTCATGTTGTTCCAACCCCGTAAGACTGTCGTTCATCTTCGGAACACAAATAAAGATATTTTTGATGAAATCTGAGAGCGGTTCAGATTTACTCAGCCTCATGTTGTTCACGTAGTGTAACAGCGCAGCGCTATGTCAGAACGTAGGCTCACTATTGGCCGACGCTGGTCATGAGTGTGATGCTGGCCAATAGTGAGCCTACGTTCTGACGTAGCGCTGCGCTATTACACTACGTGAACTTACTCTGAGGCCCACACAGAAGAAGATGAAAAGTTGAATAAAGTCATTATTTTGGGGGGGTTTTTGCACACAAAAAAGTATTCTCGTCACTTGATAAACTTAAGGTTGAGCCACTGTAGTCACTTGGACTATTTTAACAATGTTTTTACTAACTTTTCTGGGCCGGCAGGTTTTAATTACAATAGAAGATTTAATAAAAAATATCTTAATTTGTGTTCCGAAGATGAACAAAAGTCTTACAGGGTTGGAACAACATGAGGGAGAGTAATTACTGACAGAATTTTCATTTTTGGGTGAACTAACCCTTTAACAGCGCACAATCATATATCAATCAAATAATGTGATTATTGCGGATGCACACTTTGCGAAATCGATGCTAAAACTATATATATATATATATATATATATATATATATATATATATATATATATATATATATATATATATATATATATATATATATATATATATATATATATATATATATATATATATATATATATATATATGGTGCAGCCCTAATATGAATAGCACATTGAGGCAGTAAACAGATCTTCAGCATGTCATTGTGAGGTGGAAAAGCAGCATAATGACCATTACAGAGTCGAGACTGTTATAACGTGCACAGCCTGTGACTGCTGAGTCTTAATGAGATTTGGCAAAAACGTCTCCATTCACAATTACACCGAGCATCCATTCTGCATTTAGATGACTGCAGCACTAAATATGTAAACTAATGAAGCAGTTTAGTATTCATAACTTGCTGATTTTGTTCTGGATTTGATGCCTATGAAGTGTAGGATGAACATACAGTGGGGTCTCAGAAGTCCACTAGTGCAATTTTGTGATTTGATACCATTTATCATTTTTTATCCATAAAAAAATGGACCCCACTGGATATTCATACAGGATTATTTACCTATTAAAGATCAATAGCTACAACATGGGTGATGTGTAAAATCCATATTCAACACCATCACTTAGTGAGTCTGTCCTACCATTGATGAAAAGTTCAATGATTTTATATAATTATTTAAAGTTAATGGCTGTATAAATGACAACTAAATATATTTAAAGGCCAAAGACTGATTTTATGAGCTGCAATTCATTATAAACACATGAGCAGCAGCTGGCCATTTATTGCCTCTAAATAAGTGACACTGGTATTAACACAGTTACTTCGCATCAAAATTCAATAATATTGACATCAAGCTAATGGCAAAAGCAATCTACGAGAGCCATTAAACCATTTTTGACAGACAGTGTAATGAGTAGCATTACTCACAGAGAAGCTTAAACGTATACATACACTTCCATTCAAAAGATATTTGAATGTGTTTGTGGAAACTGTAATACAGTTCTTTTAGGTTTCTTTGATCAATAGATTCCAAGCAAAGTGTACCTGTGAAACATGCTCCGTCTGGACGGCTTTAGAACAAAGTTGATGCGTCTGGCCCAGCCAAGCGCTGATGCGGTCAGGGTCAAAGGTCACAGGCTCAGGAGACCTAGTTTCAGGTGTTGAAGTCTTAAATTGTTTGGCGTACTGAGGCTTGCCGGCTCTGATGACTATCAAATACAAACGCATGCAAAACAGATGTTAGCAAAGCATAAACAAATCATGACTATGATGTAAAAAATTCCAGAGGTTGACTGCAGATTAGACAAGACATTTATCATAAAAATGTCTAATCCCTGGCCTGGATATAAGCACCAAATATAACATTTTAAAACTAGTTGCTGCATAGAATATGATACAATGGGCCAAATCACAATACAGAGGCTCAAAAGTTGAGATCTTTGCCCATCATGAACCTTATAAATGAGGTTTTAGGTGGCTATTGGCTATTTTTCAAGGATATTAGAAAACAAGTCAAATTGAGAGCAGCTCTTCCATGATTATCAAGTGATTAAGCGGTGAGAGGGACACTGCCTTCTGTGGATGGCACCAGATACACGGACCAATCAGGAGCCACAGCTTTACCTGGCACTGGCATCTGGGGTGGGGCCGCACGCTCTAAGCTCTTCTCAACGCCCTGAAAAACACAACAAATACATTCAGCATTCACCAACATTAAAGATATACACAGATGCTTATTATTCACAGCCATTTTTACCATCAAGGTTGGCTTCTATACATTAAGATGCATTTCTATTGAAAGTAATGTACTTCAATGCACTTGAATAATAGGGTGGCTTAACGTGTTCTAAAGCCAGCTCAATAAGTAAAAACATACCATCTTACAAAAAACAGACTTGTAACCATCTATTTGCATGTTACATACCCCTGCATGCTACAACGTGCAAGCACACATGTGCTTATGTCTATGTCTACCTGTAACCATCTATTTGCATGTTACATACCCCTGCATGCTACAACGTGCAAGCACACATGTGCTTATGTCTATGCATGCACACAAAGACACCAACCACCATGTGATCATTTTAGCAGGAGGCCAAAAATGGCTATACAAAAAAAAAATCCCCTAATTTGCATTACAATTACATTTAGTTGCTAGATGGAAAATGTATGCACATACACAATGGACCAGCAATCCATGTTTAAATGTATAGTATAATGTAAATAATTATAAAACGAAGTTGGAGCTGTCAGATGGACTTACTGGCTGCTTGAAGCTGACAGATCCCCTGTCTGGATGCGAGTCCACAGGACTCTTGTAGACTCTCCTCCTCAGAGGATATTTGGCTAGTTCATCTGTGCAAGACACACAAGAGAGGGTGGAAGAAAATGTTCCTGATAGGTCAAAGTTAAATTCTGTTTTAAAGTGATAAGCTAATAGAAATGTGTAGCATTCACAAAGTATAAAGGGCTACGGAAAGTATTAAACCCTCCAGTCCTCATTTGGAGTCATGATTATTACATAATCACCTGATTGTAATTCACATGTGAAGCATAAATATCTCTGGAGCACCTGCGGTGGTTTACACCACATAATGTATAAACATAATTTGTGAATGCAAAGTGCTCCAGTTTCCCTTTATTTTAACATCCACTTAGAAATGTTGTGTGGAACGTGATCAATTTAAGACAGAAATATAGTACTATTGAATAGCTAATACTTAGAGAAAACAATACTGTACATCAGTGTTATAACTAAAACTATTAAAAATTGTTTTCAGTAACAAATAAAATATAAAAATGAAAAAACTTCAGTTAATTGCCAATGCACCATTTCAATTTTTTGTTTCTATGTTTTTTATTGACATACCGTACTAAACTACTACAGCTAAAACTTAAATAAAGCTATATAGAAATGTGTGTATATAAAAAAAATAAAAATAAAAGAGGACAAAACCACATAGCAAAATAAAACTAAAAATTTTAAAATATTACAAAAGCCAATTCAAAATATTAATAAAAATATCATAGTATATAAATAAAACTACTGTACATTTCAATGTATGATGTCAAGTGTAATGTGAATAAACACAAGCTTGATACACATACCTTTAGTTGTTATCAAGTAAATGAATTGAACAAAAACAGAAAGCTAATCACAATTATTTGCATGTCAATTAATCACCACCTAAAGTTTTATGATTGCCATAGATATCTGGACAGGCTTTAAATTGAAGCCCGGACCCGCCCCGTGCCCGAGAACGTTTGGCTCGGGTCGGGTAGCAGACCACTAGATCGCCAGGGCCTTATTGGCAGGTAATGGATATGAAGATTGGATTGTATTACAGAGGCAATCCCTACCTGCAGCAGCACTGAAGGAGGACGAGTCCGTGTCATCCCGGGAGATTGACCGACCAATGTCCACCGAAGGGTCCCACTCCAGAACCTGGTGATCTTGACTGGATTGAGGAAGGCAGGCCTGAGACTGATGCGCCATGGTGCGCTCTAAAAAACACTCATCCTCCAGCATACTCTCAGAGGGACAGCCAGAGTCAGGGGCACACAGAGCCCAATCCTCTTCGAAAACCTGGCATAACACAATTAAACATCTTAAAACACTTGCATTTTCAGAATTACATTTCAGTTTAAAGGTATTTATTTAGAAGGAAGAAGATATGTTTTTTTTTAATGTCCTTGGAGCCGCTTATGCTCACCAAGGCTGCATTTATTTGATCAAAAATACAGCAAAACAGTATTTGTTCATTTTAATAACAAAATAAAAATGAATTATTTCTGATGTCTCTCAGAAATATAATATAAAAAGGTATAAAGATTATTTTAAAAGTTTTAAAATGTGATTTTTTCCTGTGATGGCAAAGCAGAATTTTCAGCATCATTACTCAAGTCTTCAGTGTCACATGATCCCTCAGAAATCATTCTAGAATAATGATTTTGTGCTCAATACATATTTCGTATTATTTTCAATGTTGAAAAAAGTTTAAAAGAACATACATTGTTACAAAAATATATATTTCAAACAAATAAATCGTTCCTGTCACTTTTCAATCATCAATTTAATGCATCCTTGCTGAGTAAAAGTGAAAACTTATACATTAAATAATTTTGCAGTTAATTATATATTACATCTATCACAATTATTTATGCAATACAATTAATTCATTTTTAAGTGTGACAACATTCTGAAAGTTCTGAGAACATACTGAACTGGGGTGGGGGGGGGGGGGGGGGGGGGGGGGGATGCCTACACATAGACTTTGTGTGCTTTTTCTGAGCTATGGAAAATATACTGTGGCAATTCATCATATGTCTGGTGTGGGATTCTATAAACATCCTATATCTGACAACAGCATAAAGAACATAACAACGCAAGATTTTTTAGCATTTCTTAACGTGATCCACTTGGACCTAAAGAGACAAAGGCTCACACAAGGAACTTGTTCAAATGGACAGTACATGTATTGTACAGTGGCTGCTTGGCTACAAGACAACAATTCAGGCTATTCAGGGGGTGTATTCATGACTCCTCTGCCAGAACGTATGAAGTTGGATGCTTGAGTAGCTTTCCCTTGGGATCATTTTCCGAAATATGTGAACTTGAGTGAACTTGAGATGGCACAAATTAAATTATCAAATAAAAAAAATAGCTATCAGTTTTCATAGTCAATTGTGCATATGGTGTGTGATAATACTAATCTATGGAGGATTGACCAAAAACATTAGCTAAAAGCTACCATGCTACTGCAGATCTATAATCAGTCAGCTGCTTGGCTGGCCAATATTCGGGGTGGCAAATGAGTTGAAATGATTATAAGCACCTTGATTTCAGACCAATATAAATGGAGCAATTGAATTACAAGTTCAAAAGAGACTGAGATGACTTTCAGGCTTTATCTTAGTTCATTCCAGGTGTGAAGAAAGTTTAATCTCATTTGTGCACATGCAGCATGGATATTTACCAGTCTCATGCTGAGCAGGCGTGTGTGCAGGCGGCCCAGGCCCTGAAAGACACGAGTACAGTGGAGCAGGAGTTCCTGCAGATGGCTCTCGATGGCCTGGGCGTCCGCCGGCTCGCTCCTTTGGATAAGCTCTTCTCCATGCTGGAGTAAATCGTTCAGTTTACCTGCACTCTCTCCAACCGCCTCTTGAAACCCCTGAGAGATAGATATACACACATACACGTTTAATAATCATGCACATACATACAACATCTTTCCTTGACAACAAGTTCTATAAACCCCAAAATAGAACTCATTTTTTAATAGAAAGAAAATGAAGCCTGTTTAGAATCATTAAAATGTCCAAAAGCAAAAATCTCAATAACAATTAAGCACGTTTATGCTCAAATTTTATATCAGCAATGCTATTTTCTTAGTAATGAGGAATAAATAAAAAAAAGTGAGAATTAGAAATAAAAAAAATGAAAAAAACTAAATAAAATTACTCTTCATAAATTAACTATGATTAACTATTTTAAGCATTTATTTGTATTTAATTTAAACATTATTTATATATTATTAATATAACAACCGCAATAATAATTATTATACTCACTTATAATCATTATTGACTATCATTATTATTACTGTCATTAATATGACCGTTACCATTATTGTTACTATTATTATGATGATGATCCTAATCATCACTATTATATTATTATCATTATAATCATCACTATTATTGTTATCACTATTATGGTGATTATCATGATGATGGACTATATATCATTATTATTATTATTATCATCATCATCAACTATTATGATTATTTTTTATTTATTATTGATTTCTTTAAAAACATAAAATGTCTGGACTTAAAGAAAATAAGAGTACCGTGCAGAGACATATTAATTGTCCTATTAAAAGTTCTTTATTTAAAATGTATTCATTTTGATTTTGGGGTGAAGAAATTGATTCCCCCTCCTCATTTAAAAATAAAAATGATTCATTTATTTAAATAAACTCTTGAGGATTTTTGCAATACATGTAGGTCTCTTGTTTCTCATACTTTCAGTGACCTACTATTTGGTTAATAAAGCTCAGAAATGCCTTTCAGGGATTTGAACCTGTAAATTAGGTGTTAAAGATCTGCACTTGTTGTAACACAAACCACACTATCCAGACGGCAAACAAACAGAGATCAGATTTCTCTCTGCATGGACCAATCCATGTTTCCTGAGAGTACCTGAAGCTGGTGCATCTTCGAGCAGGTGTCTTTGCCTGAGAAGTGCTCCACTTCAGTCAGTCTGAGGTCCATATCAGCCAGCCACACTGCCATCTCTTCCCTCTGCCTCTCAAAATCCTCCCGCTGGCAGACCAAATGCTGTTGCGCACACACACAGACAGAGCGAGCATCATTCTGTCTGACCGTCTACACCCTGATGCCGTTTTTAGCAGAGACAGAGACTGACAGGGAGACACACCAAAATTATAACAAGGACGTCAAAGCGGCAGACAGGGAGCGGAAATGGCATAAACAAAACCGACACTGAAGCCCACAGTAAAGGGGGGGCATATGCAGTGCAGCCAAGCATAGACCTACAGTGCGCAGGGGTCACTGCGGCTGAAAGGACAGAATTATGTAAGCCGAACGCAGGCAGAGCATAGGGCTGTATGGATAAAGAGTTAATGGGATTAAAATGAGGGAAGGAAAGGGGCAAGAGAGACTTACGCGAGTACAAAGTAGCAACTAAAACGCCTTTCAAAATCATGTGCTTTTTACGTTTTTCAGCCCCAATAAACAGTGAATATTGAGAACCTAAAAATGTGTAAACAGTAAAATATTATAATGGTAAAAAACTATATAGTAAAGAAACTTACCATTCAGGTTTTTTACCATAGATTTTTACTGTTTTTCACTGTGAAAGTGCTAACAGGAGATTTCATGTATTTTTTATAGTAAATTGCTGTTAAATTTACAGTTTTGGGAAATTAAAGACCAAATCATCTTATAATTTACAGAGTTCACTGTGTGAAATTTCACATTTGATAATTCTTTCATTGAAATATCTTTCTTTTTCTGTGTGTATTACCATGATGGTGTTCTGAATGCGTGTGCATGATACTGCACACCTTATATATTAATATTTACATCAGCTTGTGGAAAAGCTACATTTTATGAGCTTTGAATCTTCATGTGGCTTTTTCATTATCACCAGTGTTTTTGATGGTAGTCACTGTATTATAAAGGTACAAAACAGATTTTAGTGAGTTGTTATATTTACATTATGTCAGTTAGTGAAATATGCAGGTAGCAACTAAAATGTTGCTACCTTTTTTTTGCGGTAGAGTTCTGGCAACCACAGCTGCCGTTTTATTTACCATGAATTTCATTGATTTTTTACAGGGTGCTTGCTTTAAAAGATGTCACCTTTGAGGAGTTTGAGGGTCTTTATATACCTTTAACCTGCGGCACACAGTTTCCACTGTGTTACTGAGCTGATCCCAGCGCCGTCCGCAGTCCTTCGTCATTTCTACGAGCCGTGCGCCCATAGTACCTCTAAACAGGCCGACCAGAGTTCGACTCTTCTGTGTCAGGCCGTCCAGCTGGTTTAAACGCATCCTGGCCTCTGCATGCAGGTTCTGGAAAGAGATAAAAAAACAGTCGGTCTTTGGTTACTGATGACATCATGCGATTAACTAGGAGGTAACCCTAGTTCCCTAGTAACCCTCTAAAGTGTAAAATTAACCACCGGAAGGTACAAAATAAATCCCACCAGTTCTCTGATTAACTAAAGCAGGTTATTTTAAGAAATTTGTGCAAGGGGTTAAGAGGGAGGGAGGCACAATGGTGCTTAGGAGGAGAGCCAAGGAGTTTGATGGCCATTTGGTGTCATTTATCTTCACTGGCACAAGTCCCGGGCTTCTAGACAGTCTGAGTAAATGCGCTGTCGGTGCGCGTGTAAGTGTGTCTGTGTCGTTGATTACACTTTCATTGTAGAAAGCATCAAATGCTGGTCGGCATCCACTCAGCAACAGACACCTGTAGTGACTAATCTGAGATGGCCTTGCACTCATCTTATACAATAATACAGCAGCTAGGAGTTTAGGGGTAAATGATTTTTGGCAACTCCATTTTTCACCCTCAGATTTAAACTGGAAAATGGTCAGACTTGTGGCTTTAGCTCTACTGTGTTTGTTAGGCCTCAACATTTTCTTTTTCTTCTCCTTAGTGTACAGGGTCCTATCGGGTTAGGAGTGGATAATAGTGTTAATGTATAAGTATATGTATGTTATTTTAGGATACGTGTAGTAGGTAATGTGAGCAAAAGTGCAAGTGTGGGCGATGACGTTTTTTGTTTGTGTCTGTGGTGTATGTATATGGTTTTGAATTTGTAACGAATAAAAAAAGAAAAAATAATTTTGTTTTTTTGTAAATTGACATTAATATATAATATGTGTATACAAACATTTTCCAATCACCCTGAATGCATGTTATTTTTACTTGGTCCCATCACATGACTTGTTTTTTTAAATGCTAGTAAGACTTCTTAAAACCATCCAAAACAAAAAGAATATAATATATATATATATATATATATATATATATATATATATATTTTTTTTTTAAAGAACTTGACACGTGTTTTTAACTAGATTTTTCCTTTTCTTTACACACTCTTACCTGTCATTGACCCTAATATTAAGCATAAAACATCACTGAAATTAGACCCAATGTCTCCTTACCTCATACTTTTGTAACTCCTCTTTTGCTGTAACATACAGCACATGGCTGGAGTTCGGGGACGCTGCTATTTTCTCAGCTGATCGAAGCCAGTCGTCCAAGCAGGAGAGTTCCTTCTTGAATTCATACCACAGCATCCACCTCCTCTCCAGCCTGATGGACCAATAAGAAACAATTAGATAGGACAGTCTGTACAGATCAGTTATACAGACAGGTTTCCAATACACATGGATGCCTACTCACTTGACACAGCCCTCAAGAGAGAAGGAAACATCTTGGCTCACGTCTCCAATGGACGACCACTCATTAGAGAACTCATTCAAATCATCATGTAGTTGAAAGCTTCTCGTGGGACAGCAGGTCTCAGAGGACTGTAGGTAGAGACCACTTTGGTGGTTCGTATCAACACATGTTAGTATCTCTCCTCTGTCTTCATCACTTCCTCTGGGGCCTACTCTAGGGTTTCCATGGTGACTGGCTTTGAGTGATGTCTCTTCTAACATCCTGGCATGACCAAGCGCCACCTGTTTACAACAACACAAAGGGTTCATTAGGATCAAACACAGCATGATACACAGATATAGTGTGACCCTGTTGTCAAAAATGAGTTCTTTCAATTACAGTATCTAGTCTTCCTTATGAGGATGTTAATGCATCGTGGGATAAATTCATTTCTATGTAACACACTGGAGTGGAAATTTTATGTATGGGTAGTTGACATTAAAGGTAGGTGATTTGTTCACAAAACATTTTTTTGTTATGCTAGTTGAAAGTCTCTTCACATAATGATAGCAATCACTAAGTCGTCTAAATGTATTTATATTTATATTAGTCTGTGGAAGGCGTAGGACCATGAAAATGTTCATCCAATCATTGCCTTCGGTCCGAAGCCCTGCTCACGCAGACATCACACATCATCATCAGCTTGTTTCATGCTATGCAGAGTTGAGACATCAGTCACCGAGCATCCCCAACCACCTTTTACAGTTCCTCCTGAACCAAAACAACGAGCTTATGCAGCGTTTACACCATAACTACTGTAATTTGGAAGAGATGGAAACTTGTAACGTTATACTCAGAACGGTTTGTGACTCAAATTATGCGTTTCAATGGCAATACTATCAACGGCGAAATGAATCTGCAGCAGTCAGGTGGTACAGGTCAGTGCTCTTTAAGTTGTTTATGTTCATTATTATTGTATGCTGCCTGCTGAACGCATTCATGTGTTTTAGAGGAGCCGTGACTTTGGAGACGCTCGGAACATGATCTAATGTTTTCAAAACTAACTCGCTATTGCTAACCTCTCCGAAAATCGCCTATACCCTAATTTTAAATTTTGGGAAGTATTTTAGGAAGAATTTAAAACCATTTTAAACAGAAAATTGCCATTTTAATGACTACGCATGCAGCTTTTAATTGAGACTAAAAATAAATCCATTTGTCAGTTTTAAAAGTTAACTAGTTATGCCAAAAGGTTATTAAAATGGTGCAAATTTAAATCAGTGGTGACCAGGATTTAAGATAATTTTTAAAACAAATAAAAATATTGAATGAATAAATAAAATAATATAAAATGAATAAACCAAATAATAAATGAATCAATTAACATGAAAATTTAAATAAATAACAAGATACAATAAAATCATTAAATAAAAATAAAACATTCTCATAAATATGAAGAATAAAATAATGAATAAAGGTAACACTTTACAATAAGGTCTCATTTGTTAATATATTAACATGAACTAACAATGAGAAGCACATTTGTTATGGTACTTATTAATCTTTGTTAATGTTAGTTAATAAAAATAGGGTCATTGTTTGTTCACAGTGCATTAACTAATGTTAAAAAACAACTGATTTTACTAATATTAGTAAATGCTGAAATTAACATTAACTAATATTAATAAATGCTTTAGAAGTATTGCTCATTGTAAGTTCATGTTAACTAAAGTAGTCAACTAATGAAACCTTATTGTAAAGTGTAAAGTTGACAAACAAACATGAAAAGTCCCGCTAAATGTCCACCATTGCATAGTTTTCTTTTAAATCTCTCATCTAAGAAGAATTTCACGTTCACTGATTACGGTGCATCTGGTTAGAAAAGCTGTGGTTTATCTGCATAACAAACAAATTAAAACTTTCAGACAGAGGAAAGTCTCCTGTGCTCTAGGGTATAATTTCAGCCATCAAAAAATAAAATAAATCAGTTTTATGCCCATTACCCAAGGAGTTACGGCGCTGCCGCCACAGCCCTGGCAGAAAAGAAAAAAAAGCCAAATAGATTTTCCTCACTCTAATACCTGCATAATGTGGCTGGCAGAACAAGGTCAGCTATGCCAGGCCATGGCTGCTGTCAGTCAAGAGTGATGGTCCCAAAAACTGCCTTGGGCTGACCTCATGAAAAACACTTTTTAAAAAATGTTCAAGAATAGCTTCAGAACCTACGTCAGTCTCATAAGTGGTCCGCATCAGTATTTATGAAGGACTTGCCTTGCGAGATCACTTGGGGAGAACAGTTCTTTCAAAACTTCAAGCCCAACCAGCTAATAACTCAAAGTAAGATGGGCATAATTTACCTGCAACCTTGCCGTCCACCTCAGCCGCCTCTACTGTAGGTACACACTGACTTCAGGCTCAGCCGAAATAATGGTCCTTTCTCAAGGTCTGCCGTGAGTTTGCCCCAGTGGAAGGCATTAAGGCACTGGACTGAGTCTCAAGGCAGTCAGGTTGAAAATCGAAGTCACCATTATTGCTTTTCACATCCTGCAGAGAATGTTGCTCTCGCCTGAGGAGTAATGGAGTGCAAACACGACTGCAATCCATACTCTGTTCCTAACCTTTTCAGAAGTGAACATACTTATGCAGGCTGCAGGCCATATCCCATCTCAACGGTGAGCTTGTGTCTTGAGGAACAGGTGTGTACGTGTGACACCCAACAGGCGTGCAATGACACAATGACTGTTAATGGGACGTTAAGAATCTGATTTCGTGCTGATTTTCACCCTGTAGGCCTACAGTACATCCCAGCCCAGCTTAAGTTACATATCATAATGCTCTAACACACAAACCAAACCAGGGAGATTGTCATACAAGCCCAAGATGTGGAATAGGGGTATAGCAAGTTCTCACAGGTGTAAATGTAAAATAAACGTGACCATTTTGATATCCAATCCAGTCATGGACAGCTTGACCATAGTAATCATATACATGTAATCCTGCAAGAAAGTCGTGGACAAGGTTCATGGTAAATTAATATAGATAGCAGGATCAAAAAGCAGCATGAGACCCCCAAGGATGTAAATGACAGGCCGGATTACAGATGCTTAGTCATCCCATTCAGCTCGTGTCGGTGGTTTGGCTAGAAACAGACGAGGCAGGTGCATCTGGGGATCTTTCCATAACACAGCCCGCATTTAAATGAGCTGGAGTTGAATAAACACGCAAACTGTCTGTGAGTGTGGAAGAGGACAAAAAGCCCTTACATTTAGGTGAAAGGTGATGCAGGATGAGTCTGCATGTGGAAGCAAATGAAAAGTAATGATGCATTCAATACATCAATGGCGTTCAAAATCACTCTCTGGCTCCTTATTCAGGTTTTATAGTCCATTTTTCCAGATCACATGACACCTCTGTACAGACACAAAACACCCTCACAGAACATGAATGTCGCTCTGGAGAGAACATCGTTTTTCTTTCTTGTCGCCGAATAAACCTCACAGCAAACTGAGGTAAAGTTACCCTTTCGGTGGCCAATGACAATTACTTCCCTTGGCTTATGATAAGCATGGGAAAGGTCATAACATTTTAAAAGCTCAGACTGTTGCTGTTTCCATCCGAAGCAGTAAACACCCAATCTCTTGCTAAGCTCAGGGCTCGGTCTGAATCTCATCCCACACGCTGCCAAGCAAAAAGTATAACCGACAATATCTGCCCACATTCTATTGATTAATTTGAGGTGGAGGACAAAAATGGGTTTAACAGCATGTCTAATGACTCTAATCAATCACATCACTGAAAAGCTAAATACTATTTAGACTCATGGACCAACATTCTAGACGTAAACTAACTTTCCTACAATAACAATTATGGACTAAGACTACAACATACAGCAAGGAATCTAAGGATATAAAAGATAACGATGCTCAGTCTAATTAATATCAGTAGATCTAAACTGGTGAACCAAAAAGAAGAGGAAAAATAACAATGCTAAAAGCAAATAATAAAACTACGAATACTCACTAAATATCCATTTATTTAAATAAACATCTATATAAAACTACTAAAATTAGAGAAATAAAAAAAAGGTACACCTATTAAAAAAAAAAAAAAACACTTCAAGTGGTGAAAATAAAAATCCCTGTGGTGAAAATCAAGTTTTTAATGTTGTTTATGTCTATGTGGTGTTTTTAATATGCTTTAAGACTGACAAACCATGCGCAAATTCAGTCAACACCATAGCTGAGTATTTTCTCCTTAAATTGGCAGTGTACCGAAGATAGGCCGCATCCGAAATCTTAAAAATACTGCCTTTGTAGGATGCATTCCAATGTAGGGAGGCATTAGGGCGCATCCGTATCAATTGTTAACTTCACTTCCTGTCTCCTGTAAAACCTTCATCTGATTGATCTTTGAAGGCAGCATAGATGTATCCTTCACTGCCTTTGATATCCCACAATTCTGTGCTTTCCATTCGGTGAAAGCGGAGCTAAATAGTAACAATGGTGTCTCAAAGTTGCGTTTGGTGGTCAGTTTGTGTGTAAAAGTACTTTTTAACCAATGCGAATCACTTTTGATGTCATTTCTTGTGAGAAATTACTATTGAAGTAATTAAATATGCTCTAGTTATCCTCAAAGCTCTCTCTATTTTACTGTGTAGAAGATTAAACCATTACACTGCCTCAGAAGTCTGTCCAAAATCAGTTTTGTGTGGTACCTTTGTGTGCAAACACTGCCTGAAAAGTCCTGATAGGCCAGCAAGGCAACAAGTCAGCTGCCTAAATTTTCGGACGCAACCAGTCTCAAAAATGTGTTTTGAAACCATGTAAACAATCCCGTCAACGTGCGGGCCGGAACTTCCTATAATTCCTATCATGCTCTGTGGGCATTTTAACATAATGAGCAAAAGACCAATTTTAACAAAGGACAGGAAAAAGAGGTACATATAGTGGGAGAATTATGCATTTGATGTATATTACGGTGTTATGATCAACTGTCTTTCTCCATTGACGTTCTATGATGTTCAAAGAGTTTCTAAGGAGGCCGATTTTTAGAAGGCAGCTGTCTGACTCGGAGATAGCCAACGAGAACAGGTTTGTGTAACATAAGCAACACATTATTAGCTGTTTGATAACATAGTCAAGGCTAATCATATTAATTACCATTATGTGTCTGACGAAGAGAGCAAAACATAAAACGCATTACCATTCCGATACATCGACTTGTAGATGCCCCTGTATAATTTGGTCTTCTTCTGAATCAGTTTCTGGTTCAAACATATATGGCTGAATTAAACCTATATTTCCATTTGCCATCGTGTAGAGTTTATTACAGTTGACCGAGGGGATCAGGTAGTTTGTGCGATTGAGTGGAGGTGCGTATACTAAATGAAGCATTGGTGTAGTTACATTCAAGCTATTTCAAGGCATTAAGAAATTTTCACAGGGAAAATGTTCACTTTTGACTATCAAAGACTATATAATTACGGTATTGACTGGAAAGGGAATTCAAATAAATACCAACAGTTTATAAAGCAACTAGGAGAAAAATAAAAACCATGTAAACATTTATAAAATAATTTAAATTATAACTAATAATAATAACTACCTTTTTTGTACTTGCAAAATTAGGAAAAATTAATTACTATTTAGCTTCATCAGGTTAATAATTTTGCATATTGAGCTTATATACTTGTATGCTAAAGTTTTTTTAATTTTAGGTTTTACAGACACCTGGAACCGTGTTGGGCCACCACTTAATGTCCAATGTAAAATCTTCAAGCAAAACCAGTGGTTTAACATGATGAACACCACAACCCTGCACAATTTTAACACCATTTGCTCAGTGGGAGTCACAAAATTACGACAATCTAAAATAGTTCTGCTTGATTGAGCCAACCTGTTCATAAAATGTATTTTTAATTGAAAACGTGTGCACACACTTCCAGTGAGGTGACAGCATTCCACCCACTCCCGTCTGTACCGTCCCATGGAGGCGGTCTGAGGAACATCTGTGTTTCCGGTAATGGGTGCTCATGAAGACGGAGGAGATAAGGACCCTGGTGCTCTGCACCGCTTGAGCTCGAACCCTCTGTTCTCCCTCCCCGTCCTCACAGAGACTGCAGAGACTGCACTCATTGTCTCTTTGGTGCCACAGGCCCAAATTGCAAACAAACAGGCCTTTCTCAGCACCCGGATAGGGAGAAGAGGCCAGTGCCAAGACACCTGATCACATCCACTACACACACACAAAGCAAGAGATGAACCAGGCCCTCCCCCCCTCCTCTCCTTGGGCCCCTCAGAGGCCGAGCTGTGTAGAGGGCAAAAGAGCATCGGTACAGCAAACTCGCTCTGGGGTCCTGTGAACTACAGTTCATTATTGTGTCTTAATTCAAGTCCGACCGTGCCCATAATTCTCTTACTAAGAGGCGAATGCTCTGAGAAATTGTTAGTTTGTGATTAAAGTAGCTAGATCAGCCTTCAAATCCAATCCAGGCTTCTTCTAATCCCATTTACAGCACTCGCAATCTGGTGAGAGTTCTTAGACAGCATCCTCCTGGAATTGTCTCCATTTCCCATGCTTAAGACAAGATGATTCCAAAAAAAAAAAAAACAGATGACAAGGAAGATCTGCTGCTTTGTGACAATATCAAAGGTATAATGAGGACATCATCCATTAATCGCAGCACATATAGCCAAAGGCAAGCTACTCCAAAAGGCACTCTTGTTAAGATAAATTTTGCTGCTCCACATGAATGCTAGAGATGGAAATGATTGCCCTCTCAGCTGTGACTCCCCAGCTAGCAGACGTCTGACAGGTGTTGTGCTCAGGGAGAATAACACAGACTCATTCACCTGACAACTGAAAATTCATTCAAGGACAGACAGCGAGTTTAACACAGCAGAATGTCTGTTTGCCATGCCTGAAGCAAGGTCATTCTCTCAGGAGAAAGAAAGAAATAATGTGCCTCTCTATTCTAATCAATTTAAAGAGAAGATTATATATATATATATTAAAAAATATATATATATATATATATATATATATATATATATATATATATATATATATATATATATATATATATATATATATATATATATATATATATATATATATATATATATATATATATATATATATATATATATATATATATATATATATACACACAATATATATTTTACAATAAGCACTCACTATCATACGCAAAATTAAATACAAGAAATTATATATTATGTACATTTTTAAGTAAAACCAAGGCTATGTATAAAGTCAAAGCTAAACTAAATCACAGATCACCTTCGTCCCTCTCTGCTTTCATTATCTGTGCATGCCAGAAAACAAAACTGTCATTCATCCTTTACAAGTGTTGGTGAAATCTGATTCCTGGTTTTCAAACAAAGCTCTGCTCAGGGGGCATCTGCAGTTTCAGCAACGAAACAGGCCAGAAGCAACAGGGAGGAGAAAGCTCTTAAAAAAATAAATAAAGTCTAACAATGAAAGCCAGTAGCAGCATTAGACTGAATGGCCAATTACTACCGATGCATGACGCCATTCATCATTAAACTCAGCATGGTGTCATTCTGGCAAAGAAGTGTGTTTTGTTGAATGCATCTATACCCTGTCCTGAACCATAATGGGTCTGGGAGGGGAAATTTAGAAAGAAAAGACAAAGCAGGAAGCTCTCTTTTGCCCTTTTAAACCAACATACATTTCTTTCAACCAACAATCTTCAAATAAACCCACTTTTGGGGTCTTAGAGCAGGAAGCCAGAACAGTCTAACAAAAGAACAGGACATGTACAAGCAGGATAAGGAGAACTTTATTCTCTGTGCTCACAGGACTTTTTCCTGACACTGCTTAAACCCTGGTTTGTTGGGCCTCATAATCAAATCATTGGGTTTAGGCCTAAATTTGAACAAATTACCTACAGTAAACATCAAATTAGAGGGTATATTGACTGCAAATCAGATAGTTGTTTTTAAAGGGCTCACTGGAAGGCCCCAGGCAGATTGAGATAAGAGTAAGACAGAAAAATAAAACACCAATTCAAGTTCATCAAGACATGCAGTCTTGGAATCCACTCAGATGGATGAAAAAAGCTAATAATTATGTAGTTGTTAGTTTCACAATCAGCTGCCTGGAAATTAATTATTTAACATTTTTCATTCTCATCATGATGCAGTAGTGTGCAGTTTTTCCCACCACAGAGGACACTGTAAATTACATTCTTATGCTAATGATGGCAACCACAACGGAGAGATCTGTAATATTAATGATAGAAACATATGGGGAAGGAGATGACGTCTGGAGGTTAAAAATCTAAATTAAATCCCTGATTTTATTTATTTTTAATTAAAATTAAATGTTTTAAACTATTTATATTAAAATACTTATTCTATCTATACATTTATTCTATTCTAAATAGAAAATAAATTAGAAAGGGCAAAAGTTAAAGAGGACACTACAGTCACAAGTTTGGACACATTTCACAATACATTTCTCATGTAAAAAAATAAATATATATATATATGCATAGGTATACAGCTTACTGTAAATTCCTCATACTTCCATTTGAGATCTTATAGTTTTACTGACTTGTTAATAACTTCTAAAATGTGGAAATACAGGATAGGTGTGTCCAATCTTGACTAATAGTAGGCCTTATGTCTTAACGCAGGTTGTAGAGGCTCTATGACTGATTATGGTTGAAAATTGTATTTAAGCCCATTAAAACTAATTAGATAAACAACAAAAGATCTCTGACCCTGAATACAGGCCCAGTTTTAACTGCAAGAGGCATCAGATGCCAATGCGGGAATAATCAATGGGCATGGAGTATCACATTCAGCAGTAGTCTTGTAACCTGATGGGCTGGTGTTGTCACCCAACTTGTGAGTCATGCATACCATTCCACAACAACAGAAACACATTTAAATACTTTGAAAACAATGGCTTGTATAGAGGCAAAACACTTAAACACGCCTTTTGCAAACTGTCACGTGCGCAATTACCATCTGGTACATCTCCCAAAAAGTTTGTCCCTGTGTTTACATACTAGAACAAGTAATATTTAAAGAGAATTCGATTAGTGATAAATATGATTTTCGTCAAAAATCTACCCATACATGTATAAATAATTATACTCTACGCTGATTAAATGCACGTGCTAAATGCACAAACGCGGTAAAGAACGTGAACAATGTTTGTAAGCGATTAAAAAAAATGCAATAAAATGGGGGGAATTGTATTTAATTCCTTTTAAGACTTACGTGCAAACCTGTCACTCCAGCTTCCAGCTTTTTCCTTCAGGGAATCCCTCGGGGTTTCAGCAATCATACATGAGCTAAAGTTTTTATCCGCAGGGAGAAAATACTTCTGATCAGCTTTGAAATGCCAGGTATGCTTTACTAACACAGATCAAACAAGAAACAACGCTAACTGTTGTGCGATAAAGAGAAACTCTGTTGCAGGTCATTTAACACAGTCACCAGTCTTTTGAGTTGTAAGCAAATTGAACTGTCACCTGACACAGGTGAGAGGAAGCCACGCCCCCGAGCAGTTCACCCGCTCCTCCTACTCACTTTTACAACTCTGCGTGACTTAAAAGCACGGGTATTTACGTAAATAAATGATATATTGTTATTTTTGTAAGAAAAGAAAATGTGGGGAAAAAAGAAGAAAATAAACTATTATAAATTAAAGTACACGACAAGAAAAAATGATAAAGTAGGCGTACATTAAAAATTATTTTATTCATACATTGCAGACACTTATCTCTGCATTTATCTCTGCTGTGATATTATCTCAGAAATTAGCTGCCATGTCATTCAGGAACATTTCATTAATACTTTTCATAACACATATATAGACCGTAAAATCAGTTGCTGTAGATTCTACAGAAGTTTGCATGTCTGATGGTGCTGTATTCAATGTCATATGCACATTCTAATGCAACCATTTTAATCAGTATTTTTTTAATCAGTATTTTTGTATTCTGAAACGTTTTATGAAACATGTAGGGCTGTAGGGAGAATATTGGGAATTTCTATTATTATTCGAAAGTGCAAATTTTGCATGTGTGATGATACAGTACTCAATATAATACAAAAACAATATAAATAAACTAAAATTTGGAGTGATCTAAAAAGAAAAGTTATCTGGCGTTACCTGGAAAGGTCAAAAAACTAATTAAAGATATGATTAAAAAAATCCTCAATATTGAACATGGTTGACTGGTCAGCATTTATTTAATAAGTTTATATAGATATATAAATCTAGATAGGTATATATATATATATATAGGCTATATATATATATATATATATATATAGATAGATAGATAGATAGATAGATAGATAGATAGATAGATAGATAGATAGATAGATAGATAGATACAAGAGGCATCAAATCATTTTATTCAGTGTGTCTCTTTCAAAATAAGCTGCTCAGTACATACTGACTAGGAAACTGCAGCATGAATGTATGTTGTATTGGAGGGATGGATTAGCTCACTGTATATTAATTGGCAGATCTCCCATAGGAGCTCCTTTGTTGATTACAAGGAAACAAAGAAAAAGGTCCCATAAGGGGCCATGCAGTCTCTGCTGTCTGACAACTGCTGGATTTGAACTTGGCAGGACACCATTTAGCCCCCTTGAAGAGCGTGTGTGAGCAGACGGTACTACTACACCAGGGTGCACCAATCCGGCGGCCAACCTTCACTCATGTACCCCGTGTTCACTCATGCAGTCACCATTTGTCTCTTTTCTCACCCAGTAAGGAGGTACAGCTCCTGCATATTATGTTCATAAGTCTGAGCGGGGAGGGGTCCAGTGATTCACCGCTCACGTCAGAATGAATCAGTCAATTTTGCTAATTATGAATAAAACACAGTGTAATTATGCAGTGGGGTGCTTTTACTTGCTTTATTTATGAAGCCGCCAAATTTGAATGAGCAGAAAACAATAGAGATGTGTGTCCATTGAGTTTGAGAGGTGAAAAGGTCACAAGCTTCATTAGTCACCAAGAGCAAGGATTTAAAGGGACAGTTCATCCCAAAATGTACTCACCATAATCTTGTAGTTCCAAATCTATATGGACACAACAGAAGATATTTTGAAGTAGCCTGTATGAAATTTTTGTCCATATAATCAGTGTGGTCCAAAACAACATTGGCTTATTTTTATTTTATTTTTTTTAAATAATATCTTTGTTTGTGTTTTACAGAAGAGTGAATAAATGAAGACAGATAAGCTCAATGATAAGATATGCATATTGGCTAATACAATTAGTTTAAGACTACGCCCTTTGATCTCATAGCCTTTCTGCAATTACATAGCCTATTAATATTCACCTTTGACTGTGTTCAGATGTTTTCTGTTTTTCTGCAGCCTACAAACAGAAAGCAAGACATAATTATGTTCTCATAAATTAACTCCATTCTTCCAATGAATCGTTCAATGTAATTGTAATTATGTAATGCCGTCATCCAGATGCAGGTCTTCTAATAGAATGTCTCCCTCTTCTGGTTGTTCCGTGAACTGTTTTACACATTCATCGTCATTCTTTAATCTCGGGCAGTGTCAATATCTTCCTTTCGTTGCAGTACTGTAAACCTCAAAGCGTGTCAAATGAGTGTGCTAATATAAGATGTCTTCTTTGGAGGGGTTTCAAAGGACACCAGAAGCTTTTTTGATAGCGCATTTGCTAGCTCACGAGCCAAAGCAGACAGAAATTAGGTCACCACTGTTTCAACCATGATTTCAACCAGCAAAGAAACGCGCGGAAAATGAGCATCACTCAAATGCCTCATATTATCTTCGTAGCCCCCCCCCCCCCCCCCCCCCCCCCCCCAAAAAAAAAGAAAAGAAAAAAAAGGCTGAGTTGTCTGAATCTTGTCTTGGGTGTTAATGGCCTACTTCAGTTTAGCTCTCTCTACTCTGTAAAATCTACAACAATAGCACAGTAGCCTACTGTGCCTACTTAAGATGATTAAGCGACTCTTGAAATTTATTTCTCTCAAGAGAACGTATATTTTGGTTTGTATTAGGCTACTTAATGTAAAAATTCACTGTATTTTCTCTCTCTCTCAAATTTTCAGCGGACACAAATTTTCTAGCACCCCTTGCGGGTCCCCGGACCCCAATTTGTAAACCGTTGCTTTCGACCATCTTAAAGGGATAGTCACCCAAAAATTCTGTCATCAATAGGTCTACTCACTCACTCTCATCTCGTTTCAAACACTTTCGTTCATCTTCGAAACACAAATGAAGATTTAATATCTGTCCCTCCATTGAAAGTCTATTCACTCAAAAATCTATAGTTCAAAACATTCATGCAGAGTTTTGGGTGAACAGACTTTCAATGGAGGGACAGAAGAAATAACTCTGATTTAATTAAATGTGCTCTAAGCGATGTCACGCGTTTTTTAGGCCAAAACATTTTTTGTCACATACAGCAAACATCTCCTCACTATCCGCGGGCTGTCCCCTGAACACACTAAAGAAACGCGATCTCTGTAGACAGCCCAGGCTCCACAAACAGCAACAAAAACAAACTGCGGCGACCCGCTCCCCGAAACATAACAAACTGTTCCAGCCAATGACCGACAAGAAGGGTTTGGGAGTGTGATTTGGTGTGCAGATGAGGAGGAGGGAGGGTCTAGCTAGCCTCCGTTTTGTTTGACAATAGTTCGAACGTCAACAAGAAGTGACGTCACCCAGGATCGCTTAGAGAAAAATAGCCTATTTTCAATTATTTTCCAAAGGTGAACGAACATCTTATGGGTTTTGAAACGACACGAGAATAAATGATGGCAGAATTTGGTAACAATTTATTTAAAGGTGACGTAGTTACACGCTACATAATAACAGTAAATTTTAACAAATAATTAAACCTAAACCAAACCGTAACTCTATAGTAAGTAGCATACATGTATAATTAATATTACTCACTTATTTGAGTAAGTACAATGAAACTATGTCACCTTAAAATAAAGTGTAAGCCAGAATTTCATTTTGGACAGGCCCCTTTTGGGGGTGAATTCAGGTTGATTGGGACACATTGTCCCAATCAACCTGAATTCACCCTAAATAAGAACATTTTCTTTCAAGTTGATGTCACTGGTTTTATACTGCATGTTGCAATTGCTATTGCAATTAAATTACATTTATAACTATGGTTTAAATGTGAATACTTCTCAGGAACCTTTGTAACTCCTCTGGTTTCTGTCAACTGATAAATACCTTTCCTTGGCACAAATTTACTTGGTGACATTTGATCTGCTCTTACTCTACAGTTTATTTCGTGTAGAGTTGAATTTGAAAAGCTGACCTAAAGATGCTTGACTGAGTCTATATGACACACAGTTCATAATTCTAATTGCTTTGTGACGAGGTAACAAATCAAGTTGGCCTGATGCAGACACTCTTACCTGCATGGGATGAGATACGAGTTGCTTTTCCAGCCATCTGGAACAGTCGAGGAGAAGCTTGGCCTTTAATGCAGCAGTTCAGCTCGATGTCACTCAGAGAACACCAGAGGAATAAAAGGATCTATTGAATGCGAATAACATTGATGCTCTTTAAATGTTTCAATCGGATGGTGGTATGTCATTTTTATAAGTAAACAGAGCAACATATTATGTTTGTCCAGATGCAGTTTATGCAAAAGACATCTATTGGTTCTACTATTTCTTCAGTAAATGACTCAGCTAATCTTAAATACTATTTCTCAGAGAACTGTTGTTGTGGCCCGAATATCCTTTACAACAGTGTCTTACCTTTGATCATAAATCATTTGATTGAAGTAAGTGAACTCCATTGAGAAAAGCGAGAGAGTAACCTTCAAAATCGCCCTTGTTTGTCTATGCTTTGGATTGATTGCTTTAGATTAGAATATTCAAACTTGCCTTTGTGTTTTTGGGATGCACATCTATCTAACTCACTGGAGCTTGAATTCCATCGCCAGATCAGTTTGATTTGGCAGGATGTATAGTTGGGAGTTCTCAATGAACATCCAGCTCTGTTTGGAGGAGTTCATGCATTTGTTAATTGCCTATTGGCCCAAATCATATCAATGCTTGTCAGTGGCATTGTGCAAATCCTGGCTGTACAGATGGATGCTTACAACACACTGATGTTCTAGAAACGCATCGCAGAAGTGAATATGGGTCAACCATATGATCCAGTTGAATGCTCTGAATCAGATTGTTGCCTTTATCATGCAAATGAGGTTTGTTTAGTGTGAGTCGCTGTACTTGTTGTATGACTGATTTGACTGAAGTGGAAGATACTGACTGATTAGGCTAAACACATATGCCTATATGCTCTTTTATCTTGCTACTGAGAAAGTAATTGAGGTTATTGTTAATGAAAGTCCCACATCATGTATCAAAGAGCTTACAAGTTGTTATGATCTGAATGGAAGGCCCAAAAACCTTTCATTCCTAAAGATCGTACTCATTCACAGATTCTTGAAACAAAATCCCTGTAACTGATCATAAGGGCATTGATAGTAAGTTTGTGTTTAATAGGCCTACATAAAAAAAAGGGGAAAAAAGGACATGCAGTATTCTGTATTTTCTGTATGTGCTGTGTGGGCCTTGCAGATTATCAAATGATCTCATTTGGCAAAGAGACAAAACCAATATCCGCTCAGTGGGATTTTTATTCTTTGTAAACCCGTAGCTTAAAAATAATCGAATATTAATGATGTAAGCTTAGTTATATTGGGAGAATCTGCTGGTTTGTAAAATGCACACTCGCTTAGACATTACTTGTGACATCCCTAAGCTACAGCTGCGGCTTGTGCTTTAAAATAACCATGATAATTTAATCTTGAGTTAACCCTGATATATTGGCATGCAACACATATGTAACGCTGAAGGCTTTTGAATAATTCCTCTATCCACAGACAGACATTGGCCTTGTTTAGTAATAATATGACAATGCAGTCCCTGTTTTTTATTCTGTTCAATTGACTATATTTAAATGATGCATTTATTATTGCTCGCAGTGGATTCAATGTTATCTTTCTAGATAATAAAACAGGGCTTTTAAAAAAGGAGCTATTATTATTTGTATTATTTTAAAATATTTATATTACTATTATTTTAATTGTATTGGGCCTAAATCTGTAAGGCTGTTAAAAATTGTAACTGTTAAAATTGCATTAGCTTTATTAAAGTTTCTAAATAAAACCACAAGATGGCGACACAATTTCGAAGCACGCGTGTCTCTTTGAACAAGTGTCAAGTTATTTCTTTATGATAAACTGAATTCAATATAAACTTTATCCAGTATAAACTATAACATGATTATATGCCATAGCCTAAGTTAAATGATAATTTTATATAAAAAGTTAATGTTTCCACATGCTTTCGGGTTTATTTATTTTGGCCTAGACTAATAAAATACAATTAAAATAAAGCCTTTCAGTAAAAAGTTTTTTAATGCATAGGAATATTTCAAGTGAGACATTTTTATCATTGTATTTTGTACACGTCAAAGTAATGACAATGTTATAACTTATTACTTTGTTATTACGTATAGTTATTACTTTGACCCGTAAGATCACTGCTGTGATAAGAACGTTCGGTGCGTCATGTGATCTGCTAAATTCAAATGTGCTTTCGCGCCTTGGCTGTTTAAACAACAAAACACATATTTGACAATCGGAATATCACATTTGTCATGTTATAGTTAACAAGTTTGAGAATATTTTGAATAAAAAAGGAAAAAATAAATAAAAGCAGTGGCAATGACATAAAAGGGAATGACGCGTCGCCATGGAAACAATCAAAGTGATAAGTTCTAAATAACGGTCGCCTTGAAAAACTCACGCTGGGGGATCAAAACCAGTAACTTGTAGTATCGAAGTGTGATCAATAAACATTAATAGGAATCATTACAGGTGTAGGTCTATTTAAAGTGTCAGGTTAAAAGGGTTTAATGATCTTCAAAGTGGATCTTCAAAAGGTAATTTCCTTTGACTTCCACCTTTACAAAGAGGTGTTGATGGACCGATATAAATACATTAATACCTCAGTTAAAAAGATACAGGGGGTACAAATAGGCCTACAACTCTCTAGCTCCATATCATTATTAAAGGAGAGCAAGAGGAGAGAGTGCATAGTCACACCAGCTTCTCTGGGCCCCTACTTGAACATGGCAACTCAGAAATTTTCCAACTTCTCTATTGATTACATCTTGGGAGATGCCAGCAAACAAACAGCAGAATCACCTGGATTGGATCATCCAGCATCTTCTCAGGATTTCCCAGGGCACTTGACCACACTTGACCTGCTCTCCCAGGATGGACCTAGAGGTCATTGTGACCATGCAGCACTGATGATGAACTTTCCATCATCATCATCCTCATGGGCAGGAATGTACAGCTGCTGTGTTCCAGTCTCATATTATCAACCAGCTTTTAATTCAAATTACTATGCAGGTCAACAGTGGCCTTTTGCCGTATCAGGTATGCCTTTTAAACTTTATTTTTAAATTAATTTAATTTATTTTGGTATTGTTTTTAACTGAATTTGTAATCGCCTTCAGGTTGTGGGACAGCTGAGGATCACTGCCACCCAACTGTAGCCCAGAAACAGCGCAGTCGAATCCGAACGGTCTTCACCGACAGCCAGACGGAGCAGCTCGAGCGGCTCTTCGCGCTCACGGACTACCCGACCGCTGAAACCCGGGCGGACTTAGCCAAGAACACCGGCCTCAGCGAGGAGACTGTGCGGGTAAGATAACACTCTTTAGTTGGAACAATATTTCATATTAACGTTTTAACGTTTCCATCTAAATATATAAAATGACTATAATCCAGTTATTTATTTATTTTTAGGTGTGGTTCAAGAATCGACGTGCACGCAGAAAGCGACAGACAACGTGCCCTGACAAAAACGCGAGGCGCGCTCCCGATGATCATCAGGAATCAGATTAATGTATGATTGAAACGTCAACATAGGCGGCTCAATGACTTTTTAACGTTGTTTTTAAAAGTACTCGTTTGTTTACAGTTTACAAATGTAAAAAAATTTAAAATAAACATTTTCTCAGTGAAATAAACTTGAGTTTGGCTTATTTGGATAGATAGATAGATAGATAGCCTAGATAGATAGACAGACAGACAGACAAAAAAAGTTGCTGCCTTAAATTTTTAAGTAGGCTACAGTAAACCTGGATGTCTTTAAAGTAAACTTAATAAACTTATATAAATCTTATATAACTTATAAAAAATATAAAAATGATTTGATGAGTTAAAGCAATGTAAAAACATTTGTTGTCATACTCATAACTTATCATTTTTTTACCATAATATAATTTTTTTTAGAGTGTAGATAGATGACGGATACAGATTGATGATTGTGTAATCAACCAAAACAACACAGTCAAACTAAGTATAAAACACTAATGTTTATTATCCATTTATCCATAGTCAGGATAGTTTCAGTTTAAGTAATTATGCTTTTTCATGCTGATATACTGTAGGAAAACGAAACCTGCAAATGTATACACAGCATGCAGTACAGTTATGTTGTCCATCAAATCCAAAACTGAATTCATGAATAAGATCCGCGTTAATCGGATTTACAGAGTATAGTTAACATGAAAACAAAGCACAGGACGTTAAAAAAGTACCTTGTGAAATTATTAAAATATATATTTTCTCAGACGAATAAATGTTTACAAATGAACTATACCAATTACACAAACTGGATAGAAAATGACAGAAGGCTTTGCTGACAGTGCTAGATGTCACACTGAAACTCTTGAAAGCGTGGAGGGTGAGCCAGTCAGTGCGACTTACTTACATATGAAATTTCACTTTAGTCATACTTTTACTCTCCTTTTGGCATCAAAAACTGAATGTGATTTGTCCTGAAATCAAGGTAAATAACAGTGATATATTGATGCGTTGTACAACTTTAAGTCACCAAAAAGCAATATACTGTACTCTATAAGTCACAAAATTTTAATGCACAATTTCAGGTTTTTTTGTGAGCTGACCTTTGCACTCCATCAGAAGATGCACTATTCTACTCACTACAGTGTCATTGCTAAACCTACCACACAAATTCAAGAATTCTTCAATGAAATAATGGCATGGCGGCTGAAGAAATCAAAAGCTGTCTAGATCTGCTCAAGCAGGACATTTTCAATTTTGCAAGTTGCTCTTTTTTGTAAACCAGTGCAGTTGACCAAGTGTTCACAAGAAGGTAAGTGCACAAGTCAAGTCGTTGTTTTTTATTCTCTCCTTGACAAAATCTGCCCGCTCTAGGATCACTGTAGTGATTTTACCTAAACTGTTGGTTGATCCCAGGTCATCTATTACGGACAGACACTTTTACTCATGCTGTGCTACCGTAGGTGGTCATAAAGTAGACAGATTTCCATATTCATATAGCATGTTGACACAAGAGTAAATATTGCTGTTATTACCCACACACTTGGATACGATATCATAAGCACATACTGTTTTCACGATCAGGATTTGAAAAAACAGCATTTACAAAACTGATCCAAGTGAAAACTGATGGAGGGAGAGTGAGAAGGGATAGGTAGTCTGGTCTAGCATCTCTTGACTTTAGACGATAGATGAGGATTGATTTTTCATTTTTTGTTAAAAATAAATTGTACAAGGAGCGAATTGTTCTTCACTTTAAACTATACTAGATGAAGTAAATGCATTTAATTACATTTTTATTTAAATATTTTTTTGGTGAGAGAAACACGATTGTGATTGAATTTGTATGGTTATTTGGGTTTACAAAATAAGCAAATGCTTTAATTTTCACCTCGTTTTTTTAATGAGAGGTCAAAAATAAACATGCCTCCTTTTAAGAGTTGCATTATTGATGTGTGATTCTTAACAGCACATTATTTTGGAGTGAAAGATACAGTCATTTAGCTTTTGCTATATCATGGAGCTTGCGCTTTGGTTTTGTGGTAGATTTGAATTGAATGAAAAGTTATTTATTAACTGATATCTAAAGCAGGCCTCTCACCTCATTTCAGAGCACTTTATGACCTGAAAACGTGCCCATGCCTGCTTATTTCATGCAACATATTCTATATTTTAATCTACACACTTACAGTTTCACTGTAGATGAAGAAAACATTGGGCTCAGATGACAAAAAACCAGTTCTTTTTCACATTGGCAGCATGAATATTTTCAGACTACAGACTGCATAAATTGTGACGAGCATAAGATCATTTGATGTTTTTTTAGATGTCACCTACTAGTTAATTTAAAGGCATTTGAAACTTAGAAACCAAAGTTTATATATAATAAAATACTGAAAAGTAAGACAGTAAAGGTGCATAATACAGCAGCATGTTTCCAATCAAAACAAAAGAGCACCTTTACAAATTAAAACAGATGTACAAGCCTACTTTTGTGTATAATGACTGTATTATCAAGCTTGAATACTGCCAATTATCTACCAACAGTGGTTTAGCAAAAAAAGAGAGAGATATGCATGGCTTTTAGATGGGATGATTTTCCCTTATTTTGATTTCATAAAAGATTGTTCGTCTATAATTCAATCATCGGAATGCAGGACGTTTGTTATTTGACAAGGCACTATTTTTTTGCTATTGAATTGCTGTCAAAGGGGTGGGACAGCAGTCTGGGTATTTCACAGAGTGAAGCACATATGAATAATGGAAGTACACAGAATGGGTGAGATTTTATCTTGAGGAGGAACAGAAAGAGGGGGGGGGGATAGAATTAAAGATGTAAGCTGTGGATTTAGGACTGCATCTCTGCACGGAGCATCCAGGGAAACCAGCAACAGAACAGCAACCTGCTACAATAGAAACGAATCATGAAAGTAAAATGCTGTTTAATCTTGTAACACAGGATACATTATAGATTCACAGCTGCGGCCAAAACAGATATGTTACTTGTGGGACACAAGCATACCTGGATATGGAACTTTCAGATGTTATGTCTTTCGGAGATCGCACCGCATTAAAATTCCGCTTCGGCTGGGACACTGTAGAGAAGAGGAGGTTGAAACATTACAAACATGTACCTGAGACTGCCATGTGGGAATGTTGTCCATTCATATAAATATTGTATTACGCATATTGCATAATAAGAGTTATATATTTCTGCTCTTTAATGCATGCAATCAGGCAGCTGAACTAGAGAGGAAAACTTCTTATTGCTATTACACATTATGGACAGTAAGGGGCGCTGTATGCCAAATTGACAAGATAATGTAAAATGGAGCACTAAATGTGAGCTTGTTTTGTTTATTCATATAAATACATACACTCTGATCGTGAAAAATATTGCTTTAAACAAGGAAAAAAACATTCATAATGTTCCATAAAGGAAATATTTTCCAAATTGATAAACATGCTCCTTATTGCTGTATACTTACTAGTCACCTGGTGGACTTTCTTCACTAGTGTCCCATCCGCCTGGGGATCTCTGGGCCCTGCAATTCTGCAAGATTTACAATAAAACATTTTTTAAATTAAAACATACTGCTGATGATTTTTGGTGACTTAATCTAAGCAACTTCAACATATGGATGTTTAAATTGACATTTTACTAAGTGTCCCTGTTTTTCACCTTTGGAATTTTCTTATCATCTTACACCAGATGGTTTCACAAAGACTTCATAGCGTAGGTAGTGTTTTAGCACATTTACTTAGGCCCCACCCCTAACATTGTTCAGGTACTTTATCATTACCTTTCATTAATAGTGAAACCTTCCTGCAAATGCTTTTGCTATCCAGGAATAAAAGCCAAGTGGAAGGCAATGGTCTGTTCATATTCTTTAACCAAAACAGCAGAACATATAACTGTAAAAGTCGTGTAACTGTAAATAAAGCCCAATTTGGACAGGAATAGTTTCCTAAACAACGTTTGAGTTACAATTCTTATCACTCGACGTCTTTGATTTCATGTACCGATTTCATTCACATACAGACGGGATTATATTTCTTAGAGAACCATTGAGTTGGCTGTAAAACAGTAGGTAACTTAGCTGATTCGGACGGGATTAAAATTGCAAAGAAAGTCTGTGAAACACGAATTTCTCTAACGACCCCCTGAAAAACTAGTCCCGTCCGAATAGGGCTTAAGTTGAAGATTTTACCTCTGAACACGGGAAGGTGGTGCAAAAACTCCATATTTGGGCAAACAGTGGAAGTAACGCACTCCAAATACACTGCCATCATGCTTTCCAGTGGGATGCTCCAACTCCACACCAAACCAATATCCTGATCACAAGAATGCATACACAAAATACTAAATACTCATGGCACAATATGGTAATTGTATGACTCATTTCATATTAGTTATTAGGGAAACACAAATTGTGCTCATCTTAGACCTTCACATAGACATACCAGGGGCAAAGTCTGTCTTTCCAAAAAAGCGGACAATCCCTTGTTTTTGGCCTGCCACCAGCACCTGATCCCCAACCTCAACCTTGACTCCATCAGGATCCAAACTGACCCCGGACAGAGACTTCTTTCTTGGAGCTGGTGGAGAAGCAAATCAAATGTAATTTGATTTAATTCAGATAGACAATAGCCTACAGAATCATATCACACATATCAATTAGATGAATTATTATAATTAGTATTATTATGATTGTTTCAAATGGTCTTGATAACTATTTATCGCTCAGTGAGTTTATATCTCTATATTTTTCTCTCTCCACAACATCACCAGAAATGTTTTATTAATAATAATGATTACTATTAAATCACACTAAATTAACCTATTTCTTAAACGTATCACCGTATACACTACTATATCTTTACATCTATATATGTTTTTGTTGTTAGGTTTTTCTTTAATTATCTGTGTGTAAATATGTGTGTTATTGGTCTCTTTGTATAAGTTGCTCTGTCTTGTTAATAAAAAATATAGACTTATCACTCACTCTTCACACGATCTTTCTCTTTTTTCTCTTTCTTGATTTTGCCAGTGACGCGAGACAAATCCATGC